TGCACCTCAGCTTTTCTCATTGGCTAGTGGTGACCAACAACAGAGCTAAAATATGCAAACTGGACATTTATTCATCAGAAGTGTTGCACCATGTTTTCAGAATTGCAAACTCTGTGATAAAAGAAGTTAATTATACTAGATGACAATACATTGGCGGTGTGTTCTGAGATTGCTACCCTGCCCCCTGGAGGTCAATATATCAATGACTGCAAGTCCAAAAGATTTGTGACATCACACGTCTTGTACTGAAGGGGATATTTTGCAGCTGGATTACAAAGGTGTAGAAAAACAATATAATTGTCACTGCATAAATTACTTTTATTTAATACTTTCCTTGTTTTCTGCATTCCTGTCTTTGACCAATACATTCACTGACTGTGTTGTATCACTGATGAACTAGAATCACGTTTTTTAATTTAACAGTAGGTTTAAAACATCACAGTGATTCTTATTCTAATCTGTATATTTGCTCATTCTTCATAGTTCAGTGTCTAGATTCCCCTGTGAATAGCCACAACAGATATTTTTGGTGTTGCCTAGTTTAATGAGGCAGAGTTTATATCTTTAATATTCCTGTGCTCCCACAAGTGTAGGATGTAAACAAACAAAAACAGTGCAGCTCCTCAGCAGGCGTATGCACATTTGTATGCAGGTCTATGTTGGGGAGTTTCTATTTTGGGTGCATTTGAGTTAGCTGCCCAAGCATGAGAGACAGAGCAAGAGTGAAAGAGAGAGGGAAAAGGTCCAAGTAAAATTCTCTTCAGCCGTCTGAGGTTGAAAATCTACTGGAAGCACCAAACATGTCTTTTATTTCCCTCTCAGAGGGTCATGAACGAGACAAGACTTCATAAAGTTAAATTAAGGGTCTGATAATAGCTTCATGTTGTCATGTAGTGTGATTGAAATGGAAGGTACCTGTTGTACGAGACACACTGATTACATTTCAGGGGGGGCATCTAATCTGTGCTGCCCTCTCTATTTCATAAAGTAGATACTCATCATGTTTTTATAAAAGATGTACAGATTACACACAGGATATACTTTATATATATCTGTCGCTAGATATCAGAGATGCTAGTTCAGTAACTGATCACTGGTGTTTTATCTAAATTATATGAATTGTTTTTTTCTTTACCATGGAATGGGCCTTTATATTTAAAAACTTTATATTTACATGGAGGGGGATCCACCTTTTGAGTTTTCATGACAACTGAAGTTCACCACCGGTTTTCCTTCATGTTGGGAAGGGAAGGGTGAGATGAGGAGTATTCAGCTGCAAAATGAAGCTTCACCTCTAGATGTCACTAAATTCTACACACTGAAACCTTTAATTTAATTTCTTTTTCTTTTAAATGTAATTTTAAAATATTCTTGTTACTTCAAATCTGTTCTCTTATATGAATAACATTTGAATGGTTTTTATTTTTTATCTACATTGCATGTAAAGCAATTTGAGCTGCACTTCAGGTGTTATACAAACACATTTTTTATCATTATTTTTAATTATTATAAGGCATCAGTTGAAAATGAAAATTCACTCATTATCTCCTCACCACTATGCTGATGGAGGGGTGTGTGAAGTGTCTGAGTCTACAAAACACAGCAGAATCCAATACGATTGAAGTAAATGGTGACTGATGCTTCAAAAGTAAAGCACAACAGAAAATAGACAGAAAATGCCAAGCGTCCGTAAGCCCTGACATTCACATATGACTCAAAACAAGGTCATTTACAGCCTGTTTTTAGCCTAAATGTCCTTTGATATCCTCCTCTGGAGCCAACATTTATTGGTTAAATTGCACATTTGTATGGGACTATTTTTTTGCTGAAGATCAAGACACATTTGGTTCTGTAGTGACAATTTATGCAGCAGGACAGTGAATGTGTAATGGTTCTTGGTGATAAAGCATCAGGTTATCAGGGTCAGTATCCGTAGACTTTTGCTTTAAGATAAAAACAACATATAGTTTCACAAAAAAAGCCTACTTATACATCACTGTGTAGCACTGAGATGACTGACTAGTACTGCTGCTGCAGGAGCACCTCCCAGTGTAATGGGGGGCAGAGGGGACGTGTGTAAGATATTCACAGTGCACCCCCTTCTTCAGTTACTAGCACACGACTTGGTACAGCATCCCTGCAGGGGCGACTTCTTTCATCTCTGCAGGACCAGCCCACTGAACTGCAGTGATTAAAAGCATCCACTCCACTTTGTCAAACCTCAGAGCTGACCTTCACAACAAGGGCCGCTCCATTTATCAGGAAACAAAAACCAAAAAGAGGCGCCGTGCTATCTGCTCATGGCGGTCAGAGGACCTGTGAACCTCAGAGGGTAATGACATTTACACACAGTGATGTGGGGAAACCAACTACGACTGTTTACTGCTGCCAGTTTAAAGTATTTTTTTTGTCCACATAACAGGTTTTTATCCTTATCTGATGAAGAAAGAAAGCTTAATATTCAAAATATAATATAACATTTTATATATGGATTTTTATTCATGCATGTGCCATGTTTTGACTCTTGCTGCTGAAAAAATTGCAAGCGTCCCCATTGTGGGACCAATAAAGGGTTATCTTATCTCATCTTGAGACAAGAAAAAGCATCACCTCAATGAAGCGTTTCTCGGAATGAATGTTCCCTCTGAGAACGTTATTTCAGTCGATCCGTTTATCAGAGTCTCTGGTGTGATTATCCAGCCACTACAACTAAATTACATATTATCCAGAGATTTAACTGCAGTGTTTTACAGACACAATTTGAAAATCTCACTTTGCATCTTCAGAGATCATAATTAACTGTTGCACATCAGTAATTTTAATAGAACAGTTTCAGAGGGTTTGATGGAAGAGAAAATTCGAAGTTGTCAGGAGAAAAAAGATATAGATGTTTTATAGCCTATATAAAACATCTATAGAATATTCATTATGGCCTATATTTTCACCAGTGTCTCTTTGTTGGTTTATTTGTTTGTTTGGATGATTTTCTTTTGCAGGATTCTACAAAAACTACTGAACTGATTTCCACCAAACTGGTCAGATAAAGGGGCAGATCCAAGATCTTTAACATGTTTATGACAAATAAATAATTCAAGTTAAACCTATTTGGAGGTTTTTTAATTTAATTACTTACAAGAGAAGCCTATTTTTAAAGAAAATATCACAAGAGGTCATCCAATCTGGCGCTGAGAAAACAGCAGTTGCCATGTTAAATAAAGCCCTTGAAGTGGCGCAACAAGGAAGTGAGGACGAAAAGCCAAACAGAAAAATAAAGAAAGACGGGATTTCTGTCCACGGAGAAGGGACAACAAAGTTCCCATATTTAAGTCTTCAGTGCTTCATTTACTTTCGGAACAGGAAGGAGATGAAAAATGAAGCTGAGCTTCTGCATGTACAGTATGTGTGCACAACCCATTGGTAGTCCTGTCAGGTTTTGTTTGAAATTTGATGGTGGACTAAAATGGAAGTTAAATAAGATTGGAACCTCTTTGCTTGCAAAAAGTGAATTTTATTTAAACCTAGGTTTTACATGCGCATAAATAAACCGAGGCACAGAAAGAGCAGAGGACGAACACAGATACGAATCTGTTTCAAGCTCATTGCTCGTCCTCCGGAATCACAGAGCAGGGAGAAGAAGCACTGAGCTTGAAACACGCTGGATATTTGCAAGCTCTCAGGCAGCCTTGTGTTTATTCATGCTCATATAAAGCATCCATGACAAAATGTTCACCCTTTGCAAGCAAGGATCATTCAACCTTTTTTCACTTCAAATCCTGCCCTGGTCTTCAAAGATGGTTCTTTGTGATGTGAAAGGTTCACTTCATATAACCACAGCAAGTGGTTGCTTTACTTTGGCTGGGTACTACAGCTCTCATTAACCCATTTATGAAACTATATGGTATTTCATGTACAGTAAAAACAATTTAAATGTGAACGTTCTCAACACTAAAGAACACTAAACAAAAAAAAGAAATGAAGGTCAAACAGCTTCAGATATTTTGCAAGATCTTAAAGGTACAGTGTGTAGAATTTTGTGATATCTAGTGTTGAAATTACATGTTGCAGCTGAAAACCCCTCACCTCACCCTCTCCTTCCAAACATGAAAAATAACCTGTGGTAGCCTTTAATTGTCATTAAAAAAAGGTGTTTAGTTTGTCCAGTCTGGACTAATGTAAAAAACATGGCAGCCTCCGTAGAGAGGGTCACCTCGATGTAAATATAAAGTATTTAAATATAAAGGGCCTTTTCTGGGGTAAAGAAAACTACAATTCATACAATTTAGATGAAATGAACTAGTGAAAACATCATGAGGATTATTCTACCTTAAATTTCTGCCAATAGATCTTTCACCTAAATCTTACACACTGGACCTTTAAAAGGCTGGTGAATATTAGCAATGTGCACATCAAGTGGCCAGAGATGCAACATGTTGTCATGTGCCTGCTGTGTTCAAAAGAACAATATGTAGCCTTTGTATTCATTTAATGACGATAAAAACACTGAAATGTTGGCAATGCACGGGCAAAGCAGACATTACAAGTAGAATAAGTTGCAGCACTGGGCTAATTTCACATAAAAATCATTGCTAATGTGATCAAATTTGCAAAATCATGCCTCAAAAAAAGAAAAAAAAAGTTTTTGTGCTGAATGAAATCCATGTTCAGTACCTGGCTGAAAACACACAATTGCAGCATTTTGCAGTTTTAGCGTGGAGGGTTGTTACAGGTCTGAACGGAGTTAGAAGTCGGCACATATTTGTTGATACACCTCAGACAGGATGAAATAAGTGTTTTAAAAAGGACTTAATACAGCCTTGAATAGAGGCTACAGTCCATTCAGAGTCGGTTCACCATTATCATCATTCGGTGGATAATTCCCACTCTCCTTCCAGACAATTTAAACCTTCATAATGGTTGTGCGAAAATGCAAAATACACACCTCTGTTGTTCACACTTGCGTCTGAGTGTCATTGTAAATGTGTGAGTGTGGGAGTGTGTACCACGTGACTGGTCCTCCATGTGCCCCAGTGTTTCGATCTGCTCCACCAGGTCATTCGAGTTCCACTGACTCATACCCAGCAGAATGGCGCTCTTCCCCTCCATAACATCTGCTGACACACACACACACACACAAAAGTAGGGTTAGATGGTACATTACTCTCCCTCTCTGCATGTCAGTAATGTGGTAGCTTGGTGCTTGAGCTCAAAACCGTACAGACCGACCCTTCACCTACTCTGCGGTTGTTTTGAGTTATTTTTCCACATTTTACTTTTCCTCAGGTGCTTGACTCACATCTGCCTCGTTCATTTATTCGTTTTGTGGCCCCTGTTTGGGGCGAGCACTTCCCACCTTCAGCACACTGTGCACACGACATATCACACTTCTGGTTTGTGCCAGCTGGGCGTGGTCTCTGCACTGTTTACATGTGTCTAACCAAACTGGACATGCTGATGGTTCCAGCCTGATGCGCGGCAAATAAACAACACAACAAAATGCCACAGGAGAGCCAACGACACTGCAAACAACCGAGTCTGGTAAACACGTGTGTTTCAGGCTTTTCAAACACAATAACTATCGCTCTGCTGCTCTTTGCCAACACTAACAAAGCTGAATTTTAGCCTGAATGATGAATAAAAAGATTAAATACGCCCTAAAGTCAGTGGTGCGACATGTTTATTGAGCTTCGCAGACAATTTTCTGTTTGTGCTGGTCCAGTCGTCTGTGAGGAGCTTTATTAGACCTGCAGCCACACTGGCGGCTGTTTGATTATTGGCTGATAGAGATTCAGTGTCTGCATCATGTGCTGCCCGCACTAAATTTAGAGCCCCCCCGCAGAGTTCTCTTATAAACAAACACGATTATGATTACATTCTCTGTTTCAAGCCTTTGTAGCCTTAAGACCTGAAGGATTCATTTGAATTTTTTTATTTTACAAAACCTGCAGCATTTATGTCATTGTTTCTATCAGCGTACAGTCTTCACGGTCTTTTGGTGGCACTATGACTGACAACGCATCTCCTCATCCTCCTGTCTGACGACAGGAAAAACGATGCTGCAGGATTATCGGCATCCCATCCTCCCCTCTTCCATCACTCAGTGAAATGCATGTCAAGGTCCCCCTGCGATCCCTCTCTAACATTTGTTCATCGCCTTTACACAGGTTCCCACCTGTAGCCTCAACTCCCTGCTATTTGCTTCAGAAGCACAGGAAGAACATAGTGTCCACGAGCAGAACCACGATACATGAACTCTCTTATTCCTTGTGCTCTCAAACTGTCGTTGAGTTAGTTGAGCTGATTGTTCTTGGTACTACGATATTAATCTCTGCTATAGCTTGTAATTCAGAAAGATGTCCTAATATCATAAAAGCCACACTAACACAATTACAAAGTCATCTCATTACCACCTTAAGGATGAAAGGTTTGTGCCTCAGAAGGATTTAGAAAACCTTCTCCATGTATTTATGTTCAGCCAACTTGTCTGTTTTAACGGTGTGTTCACAGATCTCTCCAAAAGAAAATTGATCTGAAAGCTGCAGCTCCTTCAAAATGCTGCAGCTTGAGTCCTCATTAAAACCCAGAAAGTGGATCACATCCCTCCAGATCTTTACACTGGCTCCCTGTCTGTCAAAGAACTTCAAACTCCTGCTGTTGGGTTATAAAGCATTGAATGGTTTAGGGCCAGAACATATTTCTGATCTCCTGCAATAAAACACCCAGACCCCTCAGATCTTCTTTCTGTCCCCAGAGTCAAAACTAAACATGGACAAGCAGCATCCAGCTTCTATGCTCCGCATATGGAACAAGCTCCTGGGGATCTGGATGTCTGCTACTAACAGTCTGTCTTACACTGCACTGTTATTTTAACTCTTTTATTTCTTATTCTTTATATTTCTTATTTTATTTTGTGTTTAACTCTTTTCATTTTTGTTTAAATTCTTTTGCTTTTACAATTTGTCATGATGACTTATTTTATGGAAAGCACTTTGAATTGCCTTGTTGAACCATCTTTATTTATTGATTTAACTATTTATGTGACCTATACTGCAGCCAGTCAGCAGGGGGCGATCACAACACTTTGGCTTCACTTTGTAGGGACCTGTCATGTCATCCATCTTTAAATACAATCTATGGTTATTAGTAGATTAGATTAGAGGAAACGTATGAATCCACTGGAGCGCTGAGCACCAGTGGCAGGCTTATATTTCATTGTCATGGTAACACACAGTTAAGGTTGTGGAATGGTCACAGATGATAGAAAGTGACTGTGGATTTAAGAAAAGCAGCTTAAGCAGAGACATAGACAGCAAGAAAAAAAAAAAACACCTGTGTGCTCATACAGAAATAACACTGTCAGAGTAAATGACAAGTTCTGTCTTCATTTTTTGTTTCCTGGAGTCCAGTGAAGAGACAAGCTAGGTGTGGTTCAGCATGACCAACACGGCCGTCTGCCCGTCGCAGACTGTCAGCCAAGACAGTCCGAGACAGGATGAGTCACGCAGGAAGAAACCCATCTACCTGACAGGCTTCTCAAATGTTCCAGCTCTGAGAGACTCTGCTGGGCCCCGTTCATTTGGATCACACAGCCGACCACTCTACTGGTCACAGTCCGTCTTTAACGATCTGCTCCGACTTTCCATCCTCCCTCCCCCGGTGCCCCATCTCCCCTGCAGTCCCCCGGCACTAATCTGACTGTAATGATGCAGGGACATGATACGCACTCTCACGGATTCAAACAAACATAGACGAGTGCACGAGGGAAATGGAGAGGAGCGACAAAGAGACACGCAGAGGGGTGCCCGGTGGATGTGAACAAAGCGCGGAAGGATGTAAGCAAGCCTGTGGCTGGACAGGACCAGAATGCAAAGCAGGCATCACAGCAAACCCTGAAAAAGCAGAGTGCCGAGAGGCTCGCAGCCAAAACACAAGCTCCTCTGAAAAGCTCAATGTAGTTGAGCTGGAAAAAAAATACTTTCACAATAAGAGAGATCCAAAGGAATATAGGTGCAGCACAAACACACAAAATGCACAAACAAGCAAGATAAATACTGATTCAAGTCCCCACATCTCCTGCTTTTGGAATATATGAGCTAAATCTGATTTGGGGCAGAGAGAGAAATAGAGGTGTGAAATTTGCCTGCAGCAGACAGCCCAGGGGGAGAGAGGGGAGATTTAGAAACATCCTTCAACCTGTCAGCTCACAGTGAATAAGTGTCAGAGAGGAAGAGAGGGGAATAGACGGCGTGATTGTCAAACGATGAGGGAACGGCCTCGGATGACCTCTTCCACTCCAATTTGTTTTTGCACTTCTCGATTCCTCCATCTCATCATCATGCATTCCAAAAACACTACTCCAAGCTTTATTTTACGCCCATTAAACGTCAACTCAGGTGCATTGTGAGAAATGAGATCACTTAGAGGATCATCCTCTGAATGGCATGATCAGGATGATTCTGCTAAGTAGGCTGCTTATAAAGGACTGCATTGAACCAGCATGTGAATCTTACATGTAGACACAGATGGTGCGATGGCCAAAAATGAAATATCTCAATATCTTTGTGATTGTCCAACATTGTAGTGATGGTCCCCAGAAGATGAATTCTGGAGACATTAGTGACCCCATGACTTTTCCTTCAGTGACGCCAGCAGGTGAAAGTTTTCAAATATCACACGGATGGTGCGATGGTCAAAAAGATTTTTTACATCAAGATGTAATAATTATTCCCTGGGAAATTGATGAAAATGTCAAGCGCACCAGGGTGAAAACATAACCTCCTGGCAGCCTTATTATAATTAGATTTCCTACGTGTTTACATACTCAGTTGACCTCCACTGGCAATTTATTAACTGTGGCAGCAGCAAAAACCTCATTCTTCCTTTCAGGCTCAATCTGTCAATTCAATCCAATTATTTAAAAGTCATGTCATCAACTAACAAATCAGAATGAACACAGCGAATTTGTCAACAGCTCACGTCAATAAACAAAGTGACAATCGTGTTCAAACTTGCTCGAGCGGCCACAAGGCACGTTCAGATGTGATAAACTTGAGTAGCTTCATTGCATTATGAGGTAAACAAAAGTGTGTGTGTGTGTGTGCGTGTGTAGAAGATACAGCCATATGCTATGAAGAAGAGAGTGATAATATTTCATTCATATTGCTACAGGCAAGTGGAGATCCAGTGGAATTCATCTGATTCTGCGGAGGGAGCAAAAAGAGGAAGAGACAGAAATCCTGCGTTAACCCCTGCTACTGCTGCTGCTGCCATGAAAGAGCTGAAACCCTGAAACACACTGAGAAACCCTTTACACATAAAAGCATATAATGTTATGAGATCATGCAGCATTGAAGATTTTTGCTCACGGAGCCTGATTGACACAGAGAAACAATTTAACACCTGAATTTATTCTATTACCAGCTTTGCATTTTCAAGAGATGCCATTTTATAAAGATTTTCTATTCAAATATAAACACATGAAGCTGAAGAGGTCAAAAGTGTTTCATCTCGTTAAACAAATATCTCATATCTTCAATCCCTCTGAGCTTTAATAATATCAAAGAAAATAAAAGCATGACACTCTTCACAGTGAGTAAAGGCTCAAGTTGACTCGGTCAAAGTAGAGCTAAAGATGTTCCACTATGTTTCTGCATGCGGCTTCTTCACTGAGCACACAGCTTTAAACTATTCATCAGAAGAAATGAACAGTGTCTGGATGAAACTCCGAACAAAATGTAACATTTGACGAGAGCTTTGGATTTTGCTTTTTAACTCAAGCTTCAAAAGACGTCTTATCTCAGTTCTTTCAGATTCTGGATCTGTGTCGTAGATAAACCGGAGCTTTACATGCCACTGGTGAAAGGTGCATTTTAAACTCGACAGTGGAGGCGACTGTGGAGGTGAACGGGTCCTAAAGCCAATCGGTATTTTCCCTTCCATCTTTCTGCATATCTGCATGTTGGCCTGATACTCTCTGCTCTGACAGCAGTCTGTGTTACACTTCATTTTGTCGTCACAGCTCGAGGGGACAGTGATGATGTGATGAACTGTGTGTGTTTTATTCTCTCTCTTCGTGTGTGTGTGTGTGTGTG